ATATATATATATATATATATATATATAAGTTAATAAACTATTGTCAATAAAAAAATTGGTGAAAACAAATATAGATTTTACCATGTATTATTAGAGTGGATTAAGCTGAATATACACGCAGAAGAATTTTTTTAAAGCGGCAAAAGAATATAACAGATATGATCATAATTTTTCTTTTTTTTATTAAAATGCTCAGAATAAAAAGAAGAAATTTGTCTTTTTTTTTCTGTTGAATTTTAGTGCCAAATGTTTTTCAAAAATTTCAAGCATTAAAAAAACAGCAATAAGTAAAAAAATTTCTCTATAGAAAAGATAGAATTTTGCTAGTGTAAACTGCTTCATGTTGTTATTTTTAAGATTATTTCTTGTTGACAAGACCTTTGATTAGTAAATGCTTTGTAGGTTCCAAAAAAAAAAAAAGATCGTCAACTGTTGACCATTGGTGGCCTTAGAAAGCAGCAATAAGCCGTACAGTGACTGCTTACGTTTATGTAGAGGAACAAGTTGTAGTTTATTGTTTGTTTTCATTTTTTAAGAATTATTGTTCACAACTTTTAATCTTTGATATTCCAATGGATAATGATCTGTTTCTTGAAATAATAAGTGAAGGATATGTATACCGTGTAAGAAAGAAGATGTGTTAGCTGTGCTTTGCAAAAACGTTTAGAGGTGTTTATTCAACATAATAATGCTCTTCGGTGGGGATTATTCGGATCATAAATAATTATTAGTAACAGAAGCATCTTTGTTGTTCAGTTAGCAAAGCAACAACACACTGTTTATATGAGTTGAAAAAAAAAAAAGAAAATTTGTCACGAAATTTTTCGTTTATTTTTATGACTATCATCGGCAATGATTACATGTTTAAAAAATTCGAGATGATAAAGTTGGCTTTTTCTATTCTTCTTTTCTTATTTAAAAGACAGAAACAATTGAACAAAACAAATAAAAAATAGAAAGCAAAAAAAGGTTTATTTTTTTATTTTGAAGAGAAGAAAATGTTTTTATCACTGTTTAGTTTTTTCTAGTTTTTTTGTTCTGCAGTGCTGCTTGCTAGATCCTGTTTTAGGCTTCTGGATAATAGTCGAATCGTCCTGAACGTCCAAATCGAACTGTAAGTAGAAAAATGAGTGTTAGACGTCGAAGCTGGTGATTAGTCATAAAATTTGCTGTTTAAGAGATTATGACAACCTTAAATTCAAAAAATTTTAATGTTTTTTTAAAGAAACATAGCAATGAAGCAAAACAGTAGAAAAGGTAAAGTGTTTTGTGAAACAAAAAAGTTACAGTTATATATAGCCAGAAAGTTAGGTCTTGTGATTTAAATAAAAGTGAAATATTTGAAAGTACAAAAGCAAAAACTACAATTGCTTTTTTTCAGAACTTTCTTTAGTTGTTCAGACTTTTTTTTTTTCTGCTTGGTGGGTTGTATTAAATCTAACGATGGCGTAAAGTGGTTATAGGTAAATCGTTTCTGTGTCATTTGGTTAGTGTGTCTGTATCTTCTGTTCACGATCAAAAAAAATCGAAATGAACAAGTTGAGATATGTGTATTTAGAAAGCTAAATACGTAGGTTTTACAAAATATGTGTTTAAATAAGTAAATTTCAAAAAAAAAAAAAAGTGAGGAAAAAAAATATGCTCAAAAATCGCGATTTTCCTTAGTAAAAGTTTCATTACTAATGAATTCGTTACCATTCATCAACATATTTTTGTTTGCTCGACTTCGTTCTGCAACTTTTTAGTAAATTTTTCTTTCCGGATTTTTGTCTTCACTCGACATTTTTAGGTGTATTAAAATGTTTAAGCTTAATTCTCTTTTGTCTACAATCGTAACAAATACACTTTTATCACTGCGGCAGCTCAAAAAGTATTTTAGTTTTTTGACTTTTTTCTTAAACTTGTTTAATTGCTTTTGTTATATTTAAAAAAAATACAAGGTTTTTTTCTAAAATCAATGAGAAATTTCAGTCTATATCACTTTGTAAATAAGAAATCAACAAAAGCTATGATAAGAGGGGTTTAGTTTGTATTTTAGAAAGCTTAGCTTTTAGTTTTTAACAATACCTTTGTCGTTTTTGTTTATACTGAAAAGTAATGGTAAAGTTTTGTTTCTTTGCTCAAAAACAAGAATTTTTAATGTTAATTTTGCTTTTTCTTCTCTGTAGTAATTATCAATTTTCTGACAAATTTACAGTTCTTTTTCTTTTCTTTTTTTGCTCTTTCGTGATCACCTATAAAGATGCTTTAAACAATTGAAAAACAAACTCAGTGGCTGCGGTGCAATATTCCGTTTATAGTTCATATAGTCCGGAAGATCGCCTCGTTTCCCAAACCTAAAAATACGAATGTTTCAAGTCGGCTGAACATATGAAATTTATCTTTTTTGCTGACTGATTACATTAACAGCAAGAAAATTGCCGTGCCGGAATAAGCAAAGTTTGAAACGAACGAATGAGATTAGCGGTTGATGGTGTTAAGCGCTGTTGATAAGTGAATAATGTAGAACGTGAATCTAGAGTTTATCAAACGAAGCACTGAAACCTTGAAATCTTTGAAAAAGTGTAAAATGTAATCTTCAATATGGTGAACAGATATTGTAAAAACTGTATTGCGGTAAATGTCTGCCTTCACTCTCACTGTGATCAGTGTTCAGCTTTAAAATCGCCGCATTTCTGTGAAATCGTCAAAAATTCACTTGCGAATTTGTAGTATAAACTAATTTAAAAAACACTGAAGTGTTCCAATGCATATTTTATTGCAGGCAGGTAAAATAAGTCATTTTCTTTTATTGTTTATTAAACATTACTAGCTCAGGCTTTTTGGTTACTTTTTGCCGAGTAATTCTGTCTACTGAACACAAAAAATCTGATGCTTCAAAAATATCAAAAAACTGGTGAATTTTTGCAAAGACTGACAAATTTTCATTTGTTGATAAACTTGAATAGAATGTTAAAAATTTATAAATCTTATAAATTGAAATATATTTACAAAAAAGAATATTTTTAAATTATATTGTTTTTGCTTGTTACAGAAAGCAATAAATAAAGAGTCAACATTTTTCCTAAGCAACGACACGGTCTTTCTTATGTACCGTATTTTTTCCACCTGTAATAAGATATTTGCAAAAAAAGTAGACGAAAATCAGTAATATTCTCTTTGATATATTTTAGCAGTTTCTACTTATTTAATCATTGGGAATAACAATAATTTG